ACTTAAAATTTTGAGGTATTCCCTGTGAGCTAGAAATGTTTGGGAACCTCAATGTTCAAATACTATTTGAAGTTTCTTCTTTATAATGCCATTAAAAATTCCTCCTTAAAATTACATAAAATTAGGATTCAGACCAAAATATTATTGTATTATTGTAACCAACAAGACAAGTTAGGTCATATCTCTGGATCCACGTATGATATCAAAATGATCCAGGTATCAAAATGTAGCTTTTAAAGCAGGAATCTGAAAATGTGACGAAGTCATTTTGACCAAATTTGACTTAATGCTCATTTTGATATGATGGGTCACATTTAAACATTTACCTGTGATCTAACTGTATCTTTTTYATGCATGTAGAGTAAATCATTTCTTAACAGTGGCTTGTATTAAAAAAAAAACTAACGGGGTGGGGGGTATGAAAAGCTGCAATATTTATTTCATCATCCAAATAAATTCCTCTTTTATCATACACTTATGTGCATTTTTAAATATAATAAAAGCATCCACCACTGATAAAGAGACTCCTTTTAAACTTYTTTTTCATTGCCATACCTAGATCTTATATGCTTGGATTCACTGAAGTGCTAAACAGCCTAATGTGAAAATTAATGCTGATGCAGAGGTGGCCAATCTGCATTATTAATGCTCATCTTTATGAGGGAATGAAMCATGTCATTAACCCGACTCTGTTATCTCTGGATGTCACTGCTGTTTAAGGTTTCCCTCTTCTGTTGTTCCAAATGTTTCCGACCAAAAACATGCACTGCAAATACAGGTGACTCAAATAATCCTTACACATGAAATTGCACACATTAATTTCTCCAAAACTTACTGTTAGCTCAGTTTTGCCTGTAAGATTTACGGGTCAATAAAGTACTGAACAGGTTGGTGAAAAATACTGGATGAAAGCCAAGTGTGTGCCTGTGTTTGTTGTGGTCTTGCCGCTTCAGCAGTATTGGGGTTTTGAGGTGACAGGAATGTCGATAATTAATACAGCAGGATTCTGGAAAGCCACTAGAACAGGTACTTAACAAGCAAACACACAGTGCAACAACAGTGCAGGGCTTCTCAGTACCATAACTTCTTTGTGATGCTTTCTACTTGTGTAAATGTTCATGCAAAACTAAAAAAAAGAGGAAAAAAAAAGAGAAAAAGATGTTATTCACAATGATTGTGAGTCTCTGCAGTGAAGAGTAAAGCACACAAATAAACATGTGCTATGATATAATAACACATAAAATCTTTAAAATTGAACAGAATTGACTGTTAAAACTATTAATTTCAATTGACCTAACATTGTCTTAAAACTTTTAACCAAACAATTACTGATTACCCACAGTTAGATGTTTAAAATGTGTTTAGATGGCGTTAGATGCTTACATTTTTGTGTTATTGAAATTTCAGAAATTATATTACATAAATCTCTGTAAGCGCCTCCAAAACACATTAATACCATGTGCAGAGATTCTTAACCTATGGGCCGTGGCCCAATTGTGAGCCGCAAGCGCCACCACGAGGGCCACAAAAGAACAACAGTTTTTTTTAACTTTGGTCCGCAGAGGGCCACGGGACTGAATAAGGTGCAATACACTTTCTCACCACTAGTAGCAGTAGTGCACCACTCAGATGTTTAACAACTTTTTTAATACGTAGAAGAAGAACCTTAGAACCCTGCAGAGAATGGAAACNTAGCCTACTGATGCTACTGTGACACCTGAATTCTATTCTATTCTATTCTATTCTATTCTATTCTATTCTATTCTATTCTATTCTATTTAAAAGAACATTTTTTCCATTGTAATAACGTAATTTGGTTTGGTGGGCAGTATATTTCCATGGCTAACTTTTATAGTAAGGATTCTAAACTGATATGATGAAACTTTCTGTCTATTTTGTTTATAAAATTGAGGAAAATGCAGAAGGAGGGAGCTGCTATGATTTGGGTTGATTATTTTTTTTAATATTAAAATGAAACTGGAGCRTCTCTGTGTCTCTAAAAAGTGAAACTTGAGTAAACTTGAGGCTTGTTGGTCATTTTAAACTGTCCCCGCAAAGTTTCCCAACTGTTGCTTTTTCTCTCATTAGGCCTGGAGARGTGGCAGTATAAAGAAATGATTACTAAATCTTCCCTGAATGCCTTATTTTCCCTCTGCTCAAAACAATTACATCATTGTGAAACCATGGCTTTGACAGGCCTGCAGACTCTGCCCCCACTTATATAAACATGTATCAAATAAAGAAATAATAGAAGATAAACGTTTGATGCAATCTCTATGATTTAAAGGGTCGCTTTTACAAGAACAATAAACACTTGAGGCCTGCAGGAGTAAAAATGTCCTTTTAATATTGTTGCAACGCAACAGCAAACACGCCTATTTCTATTTCTACGTGCTGTAGTTGAGAGCGGTTCTTACCCAAGACACTATGCGGAGAATGGTCTGGGGCTGCTGGAGGAAGGTGACGGGGTCGAAGGCTCCTCCGGCTTTCCCCGCTCCATACGCCTGCATCCCCTCCATTGTCCTCCTCCTCTCTGCTGGACGGTCCGCCTTTCAGATCCACCTCTCTCTCCCCACAGCTGCTTCAAAGGCACAGGGCGTGTAGAGCACCGGACACACACACAAAATAAATAAATAAACTCAGCTTCTTCTTATCCTGCCTCCGCACTGATGGATGCGCGTCTGACACCACACGCGCGCACACAGAGGCTCCCCCCGACTGACGCACCACCTCAGACACCCTGTTCTTGCTCGTTGTGTTAAAATTAACCTCCCCAAATGTCAGGACGGAGGGGTGAGCTGTGTGTTTTCGATGATGTTTCTCTCTCCCTCTCTTTCAGCTGGATGCTGTACCCGTGCAAACCACGAGAGCGCGCCTCCGTCGTCACGCCTCCGAATGACGCGCGCGAACGTAAGACCTGCGCGCGAGACTGAATGCCACGCGCGCAAACGTGAGACGCGCGCGATAGTGAAGATTTTTTTATAACTTAACCAAACTAAACCAAATTAACTTCTTTCAATGTAATCAATGTGAAAACGTTTAAATTCCCTTTTTCCTTTGTTTATCCTGCTGCTGTTGATTATACTATATAATACTCTTTATTATAACTGTTATTTGTTTCTACACTAAATGTAACAATCTGCTATTTCTTCATTATTGTACAGGCTACCGTAAATAGTCTGAACTGGGTCACAGGTATATCTCAGTAAGAAAGTATACATACATATATACACATATCTATCTNTTGATAAGCCTGAGTGGTCTGTTGACTGACTGTTGTATTTGTTCAAATAATTGTTATGGGCAGGTTACAATTAAAAAAAATGTTTGTCATGTCTTGTGATTATTTGACAGGAGTTTTACTTTTAGACTGTAAGTGTATTTTATTTAGTTATAATGCAAACACAATATAAATWAAACSAAKATTTARAATAATTATYATTTTGATACGTATGGTAATGTGTGACYGGGTCTTTTGTCARGTTGAACAAATTGAGCCCCGAGGTCAAAAAGGTTAAGAAGCCCTGTTATAGAGACTCTTTAGCTTTTAATCAGCCTACAAAACAGAACCAGTTTGTATAGACCCATCTAATAAAGTTATAGTTCACTAAAATAAGTTTTATAAAGTGCTAAACATTAAATAATCTGAGCAATCATCATTAAATATGTGTAAGCATCAGTGGCCGCCGACGTATCGACCAAGTGAAACCATCCATAAATGAAGCGGCGTACTGTTGCAGGTCAGTGAACCAGGAGCGGTGTACCAGGATGTACTTCTATCCTCTTCTACAGGAAGCTACTTAAAACAGCTGCTCACGTCCTCCTTTGAAAATGTCAGCCGGGCTGGTAGCAATATTCTGAGCTTATTTGTTGCTAATAGGCCCTCATTGACATTCCAGTRAGAAGCTTCCTATGCATCACACTGGCTCATTAGACCACACTCTAGTGGGACTGCAGCATGTTCTGTCTGTAAGTGTGCGAGAGCGTATCACCCAGTGCTTGTTATGAACTGTGACTGTGTATAAATGAGCTAAATGTTGATCTGAAGTTTGTGTATTTGTGTTTCACAGAAGCACAAAGTGTGCAGAGCTGTGGTGTGTGTGTTTGTTTGTAAACTTTCAGTCGCTTGCATTCGGCATGCTTAGTTAGCTGTGAGGTCTTGAGATCGGATCAATTTATGGAGTTAAGATGCTGATGTGAAAAATCCTAACTTACTTCCCCAAGGTCACCACTTATCTCAAATCARTGAATTCATAGAGAGAAATGGAGCCTGCAGCTATCTCTAAGTTCTGCTGGGTGCTACATTGTATTTATGACAAGAGCAAAGATAAACCCATAATTGGACAAATCTTTCTTTATTCCTTTTTCCTCTTTTTATTTGTCTTTTTTTCTGTTTATGTTGCTAAATGTTGGATTTTTTTATTGAACGTTTTTTTCAATTGCCTTTTACAACATATTATAACATTATCTGAATCGTTGCAATATCTCGCAGCAGTATCCCTAGGAGGAAGGTAAAATGAATTCCACCATGTCTGATTTTAATTTTTAATTTTTTTTGGTCTGAAAAACATTTTAACATTTGGATTTCAGATTCATACACCGTATTTTGTGTATTTTATGTCTGATCAAATGCTAATTCTCTTTTTGTGACAAATCTTCTTGCTGCCTGCTGAAACCATTATTCAAAATAAAAGTTTCTCCGGGTGTTTCGGAGAAACTGAGACACTTATTTTCTAAACATGATGTCCCAGTGGCTTTCAAACCCCAAAACACATTATGGCAAAGGCTGGTTCACCCCAAAGATCCGGTGCCCCGGCACAAACAGAGCAATGTTGTATATGCTGTTAAGTGCCAGGAGGACTGCGACCAGTTATACATCAGGGAAACAAAGCAGCCACTGTTCAAAAGAATGTACCAGTACAGACAAGAAACATCATCAGGCCATGACTCTGCAGTTTACACTCATCTACAGGACAGGACTCTACAGTTTACACTCATCTACTGGCCAGGACTCTACAGTTTACACTCATCTACAGGCCAGGACTCCTCCGTTTACACCCATCTACTGGCCAGGGCTTTACAGTTTACACTCATCCACAGGCCAGGACTCTGCAGTGTACACTCATCTACAGGCCAGGACTATACAAATTACACTCATCGACAGGGCAGTACTCTGCAGTTTACACTCAATGACAGGTCAGGACTCTACAGTTTACACTCATCTACAGGCCAGGACTCCTCCGTTTACACCCATCTACTGGCCAGGGCTTTACAGTTTACACTCATCCACAGGCCAGGACTCTGCAGTGTACACTCATCTACAGGCCAGGACTATACAAATTACACTCATCGACAGGGCAGTACTCTGCAGTTTACACTCAATGACAGGTCAGGACTCTACAGTTTACACTCATTTACCGGCCAGGGCTCTACAGCTTACACTCATCTACAAGCCAGGACTCTGCAGTTTAAACTCATCTACAGGCCAGGACTCTGCAGTCTACACTCATCTACAGGCCCGGACTCTGCAGTTTACACTCATTTACCGGCCAGGGCTGTACAGCTTACACTCATCTACAAGCAAGGACTCTGCAGTTTACACTCATCTACAGGTCAGGACTCTGCAGTTTACACTCATCTACAGGTCAGGACTCTGCAGTTTACACTCATGTAC